TCTCTGAACACACTCTTTAGTATGATTTTTTTCGAGTATTTAATCTTTAACGTAATAAAATTTAATAGATTATAAGATAACATATTGTATAAATTAGAAGTGTCTAAAAAAAAAAGATTATTTATGCACGTTTTCATTAATGTACAAAGATTAACTTTGATTTCGGTTCAACTTACTCTTCATCTTTTTCTAATTTTTAAAACTAAAAAAAGATGAAAAGTGATCTCAATTTCTTTTTACCAAGCATATTTTTAGCAGATTTTGGCATAATTCATAATAATTTTCTTTTAGTATTATATCAATCGTTCTGTTTTTTTCACCAAGTAGATACAGAAATGGGTAAATATTATTTTATTCCGTGTGTCAAATTTCGACAGCCAACTGATCGGACGATCGAGATAAAATGCATGCACATGAAAAAAGTGATGGAATTAACGCTCCGCAAAAAATTGTCTCCTATGTTGATTTACGTCCGAAAAAGCTCCCATGGCAGAGACAGCGCGTTGATAGATTATTTGAACAACACGTCCCGGTGCATAATGCAGGTTATATAGAGAGTCATTATCTCATTTACAATTCACTCTGGCGCGAAACATCAGACGGGAACATCACCCGGAACCCGGGTGAATTTATAAAGGTAATTATTTGTTTTACCAACAATAAAACGACCGTTTCTATCAAATATTTAGGATTTATATCATGGGGAAGCAAAGCAAAGTGGTTTATTCATCAGACCGATAACTACCTGCCAATCGTTCCTTCACCGAACAATTACATTGATTGTTATGAGCATTAATTTTACGCATTGTGACTGAATAATCAACCGCGAGATTACGTAACGTACCGCGGATGCAATACAACGTTAAAAATAATTACTCTTTCATACAGTCGCCGAGAATTGAATAAAATTTTGGTAATTATTGCCATTCGGCAAATCATAATCAGTATCTGGCATCCATTAAACAAATTATATTATTTTCCAAAATTCTATATCCGGAATTTGTGGCATATGTTATTTATATTTCATATAAATACATATATACCTTAACATTACTAGAATATTTTCAGAAATTCGGTTGACTCGTTTTAAATCCAGCGATTTGTAAATAAAAGGTAATCGGCATTACATGGAAAAATATTCCGCGCATGAAATATTCGGCTCGGATACCGTTATTTCGGTCGATAAACAAATTACATTTGCGCGCAAATTACATTGCTGTAACGTCGCAGTTTACGATCGCTCGAATATATGGCCGCGTCGAAAATCGAAAAAATGTGGTTTACCGCTAATAGAAAAAGTAATGACATATTTTATGAAAGTACTCGAAATTGAGGAAATAAACTTGGTCGAATGACGGTGTAAGTAGTTGCAGGCTACTTAAAAGGAAAAAAACTAATTGCATTTTTGGCATTAAGCTGCTTCTTCCCAAACAAAAAGTGAATGCGTGTGTGAAATAGAAAAATTAGCGAATAAGTCTTGCTCAAAAGGTTGGAAGTTAAAAAGTACACGACCTTACAGTGTAGTTATCTATTATAGATTTTGTCATATATATCGACCGTTCAAAGTCAAAATCATGACGGACAATATTAGGAAGGTTCTTAACCCGTTCGAGACCGCAAGAAGAGTCCATAAACTTGGCAAACTCATGGTTTATTGAAGAAGACACAAGAAAAATATGACATGAGACATCCATTATTGTATTTTAATAATACAAACACAAATTATAGAATTATATTTAATTAATACATTGAGAGAAAATTTATTATATTTTTTTTAAGAGATGTTCTCTCCTTTTTAAACATTTCTCAAAAGATAAGTACCTTTCTCTTCTTCATTCTTTTTTTCTTTTTGTATATAGTATATTAAATTTAGAAAATATTACACTGTTCAAAACATTACACACGTTTAACGGGAAACGATTTATAGGTCTTGTCTATTCAAAAGGTATCGAAATTGTGGAATTTGTTGGCTGGCAAGCAAATTATCCGTAAGATAATAATACATTACTCTTAATACGTATTGATAATTGGAACGCTTCCCTTTAAAATGCCGTCGAGTTAAATGCATTACCGCGTAAATTTTGAATTTGTAACATTTTAAATTGGCCCGGAGAGAACACTTGATATAATTACTCGGTGAGTAATCTGTAAAGAACTTTTTATCACATTGATTTTTAAGGTGAGATATTAAGCCCAAAATTGTTACGACAGATGTGTCCATGATTTATCTTATCGTTGGCAAAGAATCAATATCAAACATAGTTTAATCTCCTGCATATCTTACATAAATATATTATGCGAACAATGATCATTGAGGTGATTGAATGTTAATCACACGCAATCTGAATTTCTCTCCTTTAATTGTTCCAATCAATTACAAACGCGAGTCACGTATCAAGACACAGTATATTTGTCGCTTGGCCATATAATAACTTTTCTTATGCATTCATAGCATCGTACAATTTACTTTGTCAATACAATAAGCGCACTGTAACTGCCAAGATTCTGTCGATGTACATCATAGCCAAGCTTCTCCAAAAACATGACAAGAGTGAGTGAGTGAGTGAGTGAGTGAGTGAGTGAGTGAGTGAGAGAGATAGATAGATAGAGAGAGAGAGAGAGAGAGAGAGAGAGAGAGAGAGAGAGAGAGAGAGAGAAAGGGCAAGGTTTTTTCGACCTTTCCGAACACAATCGACTCGACTGGAAGGATAAACGGGGTGTCTCCGCACCAAATCTGGTCACCAAACCGAGGCATTGGCCGTATTATCATGATCGCGCCCTCGGGCTGCTTTTGACATATCTATTACGCGTTTCGGAATAGAGGTGACTTCGAATTCTGTGCTACCAACGCCTCCCTCTCGGCCGCTCCCACGTGCTTTCCTCGCCCGTTATAGAAGAGCGACGGGTTTGGGTGGAAATGTGGTGGTGTAGGCGTAGAGGTCCAATTAATCAGTCGGGGCGTGAAACGAGAGGGGGATTGAGGTGGTTCAAGAGGGGCGGTGAGAGGTACAGGGAGGAGGATAACCAGGGTTCCGTGTGCGGGGCAGGGACGTCGCAGCGATTGTAGTGACAGATCCACCGTATCTGTCCCTATCTGCTCGAGGCATTAAATCCGTGCGACGCCAAGCGTTGTGTCACAGGAGGGGATCCGCACGAATCGGTTAACATTTCGGTAACGCGGCAATTTCGGGTTTTAATTAAATACAACACAATCAGACGCGCGTTCGGATCGAAACAAATTTCAAGATTGCATTTTTTTTTTCTAATTCCTTCGTTTAAAATCAAAAATAGAAAATAACTCATATAAAATACATTTAATTTACTTTTTTTACTTTCAAGAACTTTCAACATTGCTCGTCAATTGATATACATACATATGTCGAACGGGGTGTTTCTCTCTCTTATAGTACACATATATAATTAAATCATCCTAGAGAGAAGTATAAATTAATTTCCTTTAAACACAAAGAAATCAGTTATTCTTTTTCTAACGTTTGCAAACGCGAAAATATAACAATTAAAAATTTTTTAATTGTGTTTTATTAATAATAATTTGCACAAACCGAAAGATCTCATAATAAGTCTTTGAAAAAACTGTTTAATGTCCTTTCTGTAATAGCAGAATCAATTACAATTCAACGTAATTAGTGCAATTCAATTATTATTAATTAACAGCACAGTTTATGATTATTGCCTGTGGTATAATGGACTATATAATCGCTAACTGCAACCCAACGTGCTTTCACTATTTTGAGGTGACCACATTTATTGTGTTGATGTAATAATACTAGTCTTTCTTTTAATTGAACGTTAATAAAAACTGTATCGACGTCTTCGAGTTTCTTCAATTTGTGTATAATATATTAATAATCACTCTTCATGATGAAATGTATTGATAAAGATAGCAACTAAAGATGCATACACGAAACTTTAAATAAAAAATTTTGCATCTTTGTAAATATTATAAAATAATGAATTTGTTGAAATGTTTTAAATAACAGTCTTATTGCTTGTAAATATTTTTTCTTTAATGTTTTATAATATTTACATGCGATAATCATGAATATTAGTTTATAATCTTATAATCCATCGTAAATCTTTTTTTAAAGAAATTCCGTTACTGAGATAGTTTGTATAACATTTAGTAAATTTTACGATTAGAATCTGTTACATCTATGCTGAAAAATTGATTGCATTATCATCTCGTCGGTCTTTCAATAATTATTATACACACACGGAAGTCGTTCTACTCATTTATGCCATGTCACGAACATTAATCATCAAATACTAAGGACGATCGATAGCCTGTCAATATGCTCTCGTCAACAAGAGTGCAGATGGTAATTCCCTACGGATCGGAATAATCGAAACATGGACCATTGACCGATACTAATAGCATTTGATAATAATTGCAATATTTCAGATGAGTCTCGGTTCTCTTAACTCTCCAAACTAGTTCGCGAACAATTTATCCTAATCAATAAAGTGTTGAATAAACGTAATATTGCGTTAGCGATAAAATAAATAATAAAAAATGTAAAGCCTACTTTAAACGACCTATAATTTGTGACTAAATTCTATTTATAATTTTATATGTCATGTATCCTAAATTATAAATGTGTGTCTTGATATATATTTTATGTCTGACTTTACTTCTTCAAATGTCTTCTATATTACACAATATGCAAATTATAAATATAATTTTGTTCCAAATTTGGTCGCGAATTGTAAATCGTCCAAAGTGGGCTTAAAAGAAAAAAGTTATTAAGTATGATTTCCTAATATTAATATTTCTAATACAGCACGACTTATGGATATTATACAATTTCGTCGAAAGCTAGTCACAGTAAGTTCTTTTACATAGTAAAAATATATAAACGAGAATGGAAAAGAGACACTAAGGACGCAAGGAAACTACACGTTAATTGCGATGTTCAATTAATCCCGTAAAAGTGAAATGTTTTTCTGTTTTATTAAGATAGAAGAGCAACGACCAGACGATGGCGTTCGCTAAGAGTATCGTTAAACAGATTACACAGCGTGTCGTCCGATTTGGCGACTTTCTAGACACTTTCTCAATGTGCCGATACTCGTCTTCGCTTCATTTGCGACAAAAAGGAAAAGCAAGATCGAGCGTCTAAGATCGTGTCGCTATCGATTGATGTTAGTGGTTGAGGGTATCGGACGAGTCGAGCATTTGCACCAGACTTTGCAACGAAATAGCTGAGGCAATTAATCGTTATCGAGCATTAATCGAGGAAATCCGTATTTGATAGTGGCAGATGTTCCCTGCGGTAGGAGTGAAACGGCACGAGAAGCAAGAATTGTCGGAGGTCAGGACGCGTCACCACGTGAATTTCCATGGATGGTGAGCATAACAAGAAAAGGTGGACACTTTTGCGGCGGCGCCATTTTAAATGACAGATTTATATTAACTGCTGGACACTGTTTATGTTCGTAAGTAATTCTTTTTTTTTAATAATTTGTATATTACGAGCTGCATTTTGTATTAAATACAGAAATCATAATTTTTTTATTCTTTAACTTAATATTGATAGTTTATCGTTCATCATGGATAGTTATGTTAAATGATTCAAAAAGTGTTTAAGTTCCCTATTAATCTTTATATATCAAAGAAATTTTTTAAAGTCAGTTTGATAAACAATTTTGTAGAATTGAAATAAATATTGTATAAAGCAAAAAGTTTAGATCTTATTTTTTTGAATATAATTATTTCAATTTTGTATACCTATTTGAAATATATTAATTGTTATTTTATTATGATAAATGTGCATGCCAAAGAAAATTAAAATTATATGAATAATAATATACATATATTAATGGTCGGTATACATATTAATCGTATAAACCTAAAATATACAATATTGTAGCACCACGTCCTTAATTTTACTTGTACTTCAGTAACAAGTTTTCAAAAGATGCATCTTCATTAATGAAGTACATAGTCTCTATAAAGACTAAGTCCTTTAGTAGAAGTAGGCTTTAATTTCAACAGTCGATCTGAAACTTACAATTTCTTGACAACTTTTAATAGGATGCTCGCATATTAAATCTCGTTAAATCCGCCAGAGACTTGATTATTATCTCAAAAGTCTATCTACGTATAAAGTATTCCATTTGTTGCCCTTGATAATAATAATAATAATAATAATAGTAATAGTAGTAGTAGTAGTAGTAGTAGTATCAGCTTGACTCTTTTTGAAGCTTAATCGGTCAGACATTTTATGTTGAAATTTGATTATGTTGAATTTTATTTGAAAATTTGCAATAAATTATTATAAATTAACAGTTTTTATGCGCTACAGAGACAAGTTAATTCTTGTAATTAATAAGAAAATTAATTTAAAATTTGTAGTAATTCCCAATTTTAATAATTTAACTAAATTTATGTTAACAATGTATTTTCAAATATTTTGAAATTTGTTAATTCGAGTTATAATTATATAATTCGAATAATTACTGACACAGTATTTTATATACATTAATGTATAAAATACTGTCAGTAATTATTCAAATTTATGTTATGTATGAGATATGTGCAAGTTTATCTCATTTGCAAACGATTTATTTTTTTTTTAATTTCTGCTGTACCGCAAAAAATAAATCACACTTCTCCAAGGAAAAAAACCTTGATATGCACAAAATAATGACATAAAAGTTATTGTAAAATTTAACCGACATCACAGAGTTTCTCTGTCTGTTATACAAATATAGCAAATAAAGAGGTATGTGTATCGTATGATTTTTATCGTGTTACTATGTCAAGCGAAAAATTTTCAATAAAAATAAGCAAAAATTTCACAACGAGCTGCACTCGCGTAAAATTCGTTAGCGTATTGCTAATTAATCAATCAACAAATATAAACTGTCTCTAATAAAATATATACATAGACTCTACAAAAAGCTAGTTGTAAATTTGATATATGACACTACACAAAACATTTTATCATTGCGTATGTCACTGAAAATATATTTAAATCTACAGCTTTTGCTTCCGACAGTATTAAATTAAAGTGAGCTAATATATGGAATTTGAGTGAGTCTTTTTAACAGAACGCGCATTATAAATGAACCGCTATCGTTGCGCAGCAGACGAGTTTGCACGGCTACAGCGGCAATATATGCAGGATAGCTTTCGTGTAGATACAATTAAACGCGCGAGCAGACCCATAGTTGGGTGGGCAACAAAACGTACAGATATTGCGTATCCCTTTCGGTCACTGGACAGATTACAGAAGGACGGGATGGGGAGGGAGATAGGGGCCGTTCGGGGGCGACGAGCGGCCGTAGAGAGAATTCAGCGTCGAGCTTTGGCGTTGTAAACCATGATTGCGTGTAGATTACAGACCACTCGGTAATTGCTAGCGGCCATGCAAAACGTATGGAAAACGTTGCAACAAGATGCGAGGCAGGAGGGCGTGAAAATGAAGGTGGCTGTGTCCACTATCGTCTCACTTTACCTCATCCTCTTCCCCCTTTAGTTTTTCTCGCCGCTTGGTATCATTTACGCGCAAAAACAGACAACCCGACGCTCACCAGTGATATCTAACGCCTCGCTGCGTCAAATTTATGGAGACTAGATCCCTTGTTATCGAGTATCGAAAAAAAAAATTAAGATAAAATTCATTACAGTTTTTTTTTTGGGGGGGGGGGTATTTTTAAATACTCTAACTAATACAAACGCAACAGTGAATAATGATTTTTAGAAATATTGTTATAAAATTCAAGTTCATTGTTAAATAATGTTTTCGTCGTATACAATCATCTTTTTTTTCGATATCATAGTTTAATTTAAATGTTTCGTAAAATGCCAAAAATTTGTAATTTAAAATGGCATGTTTAAAGATACATTAAATTGGAAATATTTTATCGAACATTTATTATCCAAAAAGGATTTCCATTTCGAATATGTAGTGCTTATATTTTTACACGTCATAAGCTGTACGTGTAGAAAATGGAACTCGTTAGTAAATAATTAAACAAATTATAACGCGTTGTTCTATCGAACCGATGACGCAGCGCCCAATTACTATTAATACAATACGTGCGTTATGAATAATACGGTTGATTAATCGTCAGGCAAGCAGATATAAATTATGTCCTTGTATAGCGATACAAGAACTGGCAACCTAGCGACGCAGCATCGATATTTCTCGTTCGACGATATCCCACGGTAAATTAATGTTCAGCAGTACCTTATTACCAACGTCATTCTGCGTGCAACGTTGCGTAATTCACGGACGCGTCCGTGTGCCGATATACTAGTGCCAGGAGAGCCGCACGATTTAACGAGCCGAACCGAAATTAATTCCAATCGATTTACCGATTCGGCGTCCAATTAATTTTTAACGAAGCCGTCCGTAGAAAAAATCAGTCATAGTCCCAAATAGCAAATATTATTCGTGCGATAAAAGAAAAATGCAATTGCGACGGTATAGACTGAACAACTTAATTAACTCTGTTTTAATTTATTTAAATAGATTTTTTTTGTTTGGAATATCGATTCTGTTCTTTATTCCGCTTGTCCTCTTAAATAAATAAAAAAACAATACAAGAAAAGTTCCCGCACTAATTGTGTAAAAAATTGAGTCCTGACGAATCGTTTTCACAGATAATGAATAAAATAGAAAAAAATAGCTTTCAATATAGTCAATAGAAGATAACATAGATACAAAGTTCGATAATATATGGTTTTAATTCTGGTATATCAAATAAAATTTATACTCACAAAACAAATTTAATATACCATAGCTAAAAAATGATGTGTTATTGAGCTTTATGTTTATCATCTATGATATATCATTGATTCATTACATTACATAATATACTCCAAAAAGTAACAAAAAGTTAAGATTATCTCTGGAATCTTGTGTAAATAGCGTAATTAGTTTATCTTTGACAGGATTATATTAGTCAAATATGTATAAAATTAATTCTCAATTTACTTTTATAAAATATCTTTCATCTAAGAATTTCTTAAATTCCAAAGTCTAACCTTTTAAATTTTTATGGATAAGAAAAACAAAATTTAACAATATTTAACCAGTGTTAAATATTATAATCTATAATGTAATCATAAAATTTAAATATTAAACTGGTAATATATTTATTTTTAAATACGACTACCTAACTTAAGCTTTCATAAGGCTTCATGCTTCTTTTAGAAAAAATTAATGCTATTCTGAAGAATGTCCGCTTCAAAACTGACTTGTTTTAATTTTTGCTATTTTCTCTTTATTATTAAATGAAGTTCTCTATTAAATATAGGATGTTCTATTTTATAATAAACGCATTTAAATATTTCGAAAAATAGATAAAATACTCAGATGTGGTATTTTCAGAATATATAATTTCACGGGAGATACATATAATATTTTAATTAAAAAATTTTGATTTGGAGTAAGAACATCAAATTAAAATAAAGTTCAATTTTATTTCAACTCATTAAGACTTGTGTGGCCAATAAAGTTAACAAAAAAATAATACTTGAAAATAAAACCGGAGCATAGAAAAATTTTTGACATAAAAAGTGCATTACAAAAATTAATTGTATATCAAATTGTTTGAAACAAATTATTAAATATTGATTGTAGAGGGATTACGCCAATCTGTTTTGTAGGAAAAATTACAAAAGCATATATAACTTTCTCTTCTCTCATTTTCCGATTATGCAAAAAAATAAGATAAAAATCACGAGTTGTTGAAACTCGTTCCAGTTTATAACAAGTAAGCTTAACAAAAAGATAACACAGTTAAGAGAAATAATTCTATTTTTGGTTATTATGCAAATACATTTTTTGTTTTCTAAACAAGAATAACAATTGGAAAAAATTATACGTATTTCTTTCGTAATTTTTCTTATAGAATCGATTCTTCTACAGTCAATATTTAATACTTTTTTATAACGATTTGTTACAAAATTTTAAAGATATTTCTATTTTCATACAAAAATTAATCTTTAAAATAATTAGTGAGAAGGCTCTATATGTATAAAACAATACAAAACTAAGAAGGGCAAAGAGCCAAATAAATCTATAGAAAATATCAAATATATAAAATTTAATAAAACAATTAAAAATTACAAAAAGAACAAACGTTTCGAACCCAATTGGTTCATTATCAATGTTACAAATAATAAAGTTGAAATAAAAAATAAACGCATTCTTCTTCCATTAAAAATGATCCTTCAATATTACAGAATTAAGATAAAAACGCATTCTTCATATAAATCAGTATAGAAAGAGTCAGATGTTGAAACAAACATAAATTGATCCTTATCAAAATACATAAGAAGCAACAAGTCCATAATTAAAATCGAAGTCATTAGATATAAAATATATTTGAAAAACTGTAAGTCATTTTGCGGTATATTGTCACTATGAAGTCAGAACAGATATTATCTGACTTCATAGTGACAATATACCGCAAAATGACTTACAGTTTTTCAAATATATTTTATATCTAATGACTTCGATTTTAATTATGGACTTGTTGCTTCTTATGTATTTTGATAAGGATCAATTTATGTTTGTTTCAACATCTGACTCTTTCTATACTGATTTATATGAAGAATGCGTTTTTATCTTAATTCTGTAATTTTGAAGGATCATTTTTAATGGAAGAAGAATGCGTTTATTTTTTATTTCAACTTTATTATTTGTAACATTGATAATGAACCAATTGGGTTCGAAACGTTTGTTCTTTTTGTAATTTTTAAGTGTTTTATTAAATTTTATATATTTGATATAATCTTTAAAAGTTTTATAATTTTCGCACGACATTAATTTTTTCTAAAACTGGCATGAAGCATTATTGGTAAGTTATTAGGTGGTCATACATGCAAATATACATGAATATATTACCAGATTAATTGTATAATATTTCAATTTTATAAGCTACATTATATGTTAAAATTAATTTATTTCATCGATCTAATTTTTATATAATTAGTGCAGAAGGCCTTTTTGAAAACCTTTAATAAATTAAAATACCTGAATTTGGATATAAATATATGTATAATGTGTGTGTTCAAGTACATATATTGCTGAGAAACTATATAGGTCAGAGATTTGCTTTTATTATACTGATAACGTGATAACGAATATTAGAGTAAATTTTGTACAGATATACATATATTCAGCTATAATATATACATACATCACTGCAATTAAAAATAGGTCAGAGAGATTTGATTTCACCATAGTGATCGTATTGATTAAATATAATTAATTATGTAAATAAATCTGTATAAATAGCCTATAAATAAATTTATATAACTAATTATTAAATATTCATAATACCTACATTTAGATATTATGAATATTTGATAATTCAATGGCTTAGTACAATATATTAATCTCATTTATTTATCGTGAATCAATTATAATTAGTATAAAGAGTGTGCTTTGTGTTCCATTGTCAATACTTCTGAAAGTTCTAAACATACTGTGTGTATAGAAAAAATAATACAGTTTCAGCTCAATTTTGACAGTAACTTCAGTGATGTATTTAAAGTAAATATTTCATAAATCAAGCTGCCGATTTATTTTAATGGAATGTCTGACATAATAAATACTAGCTTATATATTGATTAAAATTGTTTATCCAAACAAATCAGCATTGGCTGTATAGTGGCTGTTGCAATATATTCCGTCGCAACGAGCAACGTCCTCGTTGCAATCCATCTGAGCGCTCGTGCATTTTAATTGAAAGGGCGCGACGCTGAGAAGAGAGAAGCGAGTCCCGGAGATGCATTGAAAGTAAACCGTATAATCCGTGAGCCGCGGAACAATAGCGGGGACTCGACGACGATGGAAAGGTCCATTAAGGCGGCTTTGTAAGGAGCGGCGGTGAAACAGGGCCTGGAAACTTAGAAAACACTCCGCGATAAACTCCAAAGGAGCATGAGGGAAGATGTGCAAGGGGTTACTGACGAAAGTGGGACGGTACGGGTTTGCGAAACACAGTCACGAGAGACACGAGATGCGGGACGGAGGCGGGGAAAGGGGCACGAATGGAGCGGATAGTCCTGACGGAGGGGGTGCCGTAATATTGTTAATTATTCAGAGGTACTATAGACCGATTAATTAACTGAAGCCACTCCGGCCGGGTCAGGCATTCAAGGGAGCTCTGCAGACGCGTCGTTCGAGCGGGACAAAAATCCCAGTTAAATAATTACTGACGTCCAAGGGAAAGAAACTGGGAAAGAGCTGGAATTCGTCAGCACTGTTAAGGGAGGGTTAAGCGGGAAAAAGAAATGGAAGGCTTATACATCGATGGTAAGGAATTTTTCGCCTCGGACATTTCTATTTTCGCTGCCCTAAATTTGTGCGATGATTATTCTCTGCTGCCATTTCGGTATTAGGCAAGTTCCTTTTATAAGGAAACTAAAGGAAGAATGAAGAATACCGTTTTGTTTTTCACTCACAATTTTTACGACGCAAAAATAAAGATTTTTATGAGAGGTATAAATGAAACATTTCGAAGTTTCCAAATTTTTTCGATATAGATATACGTACATTATCCATCTTGACTTTTTAGCGGATTTTTATATGTGACATAAAACATACAAAATCACGCATAATTTTTTTTATTCAATAATAATATCATAATTGTAATAAATAGTAATGTTAAATAAATTATTAAAAAGGGGAAACAAATTTTCGTCTCGATAGGGTTTGCTATAAACAATACGGCGAGTCGCGAATTAAATCTTTCACTTTCGCTTCAATTTCAGTGGCACCAACAAAATACCAGTAGGACAATTGCGCGTTACTCTGGGCGAACACAATTTAAAGGCTCCAGAAGTGCCGACCGCAAGACATGAAAGCGTCATAAACGCGGTGCTGCATCCTGGTCACAGGTGCGGCAAGTATGTGGACGATATCGCTCTGCTGGAGCTTGCTAGTCCGATCAGTTGGTCGGAAAGCGTGAAACCCGCATGTTTACCTGTGGCTGCTGGGAAACCAGGGTACAGTGCCTTCGGCGGCGTTGAAGCTATAGTAGCTGGCTGGGGATGGCTCGGAGAAGATAGAAGCAAATGTGAGTAAATAATTGTCTCCCTTTCCTCGAAACCGATTACATAGGGGACGTCCTGAGATTAGATCTGATCATTACGTCCGTTATTTGTGTATTTTGATGCCTTGGCAAACATTACTGTTTACCTATGAAATTACCACCGCATGACACTGCATCCGAAAGTTCCAATTCTCGCTATCATATAATTCTTTATATAATATCGTATAATTTAAAAAAAGAATTTTTTTTAAATCAAAGTGTCTTATAGAATAATTGCATGTCAATGGCAGATTTTATTTCTAACCATTACTGATAATAATTAAGATACTTGGAAACTATTTCGATATTTTTGTACGTAAATACCATTACATAATTCGCGAGTTCGTTAATAAATCTCTGTTAGAGACGTGGCAGATAAAGGTCCTACTCGATCGTCGACCAAGTTGCGAATATCAGGGTCTTCATAAATACCTGAGATATATCAGTAAGCCTGAAGTTTCGATAAATCTTATCACGATAACGATCGGAGCGACGAAACACGCACCAAAGTTTCCATAATCACCAAAGTTCTCGCAAGCGTTGAAGTCCTGGTAGAGTGGAAGTATACCAACTCTCTCCATCTCTCTCTAAAATCAATAAAATAGACAAGGTCATTTTACTTATAAAACGGAAGTCATCAAGATTTCTAAAGGTTATTTTATCAGAAACGTTGATTATAATAGAATTGTACAAATTTTATATATTATATTCAATTATATGACAAAGAAATATTTTGAAAGATATTTTTTCGAAAGATAAACAAAATTTTTAATAACTTGTATTTAAAATTTGTCTAATTTACGTCATATTTTGCATCTGACAATCAACTTCAAATTGATGTAATTAATTAAATTTATTAAATAGATATTAATTACATTCTTATTTTAAAATTCTAAAGCATTTTATACATCATAATTAATACTATATATAACTAGATTAAAACATAGACTAGATATACAGTCATTATTATTAATTGAATTTATCAGTTAAAATATATTATGTTGTTTTATGATAAATAATGCTATGCTTTCGTAAATAATGCTTTGCGTGAAATAGTTTTTCATAACGTATCAGCACTGCTAGCATCATAATATCCATTTACATATGCGCGTATCTTTATAAAATTTAAACATTATAGATGTAAAATTTTAGCGTTGTAATGCGAATTTAAAATATTTTTTCGAACATGGTTAGAATTGCAACGTCATTAGGTTGCATACTCTGTCTTAGGACAACAACGAATGTGAGCAATAATCTATTGTCTAAAGTCGCAGTAAAGAGCATAAATCGCCGTTATATTTTAGACAAGAGAGCGGATGTCCTGCAGAAAGTGGAGGTTCGCGTAGTAACGAACACTGTGTGCGGTGAATGGTACGCGAGTCAGGGCAAGTCAGTCAGTGTTGGAACGAAGCAAATGTGCGCCGGCTGGGAGGATGGAGGGAAAGACTCGTGCTGGGTAAGTGATAAAGGTGTTCGCTGCGAATTTATCTTTCGGTCGCGCGAAACGCCCGCGTGGACATTCGCATTTTTGCATTGCTGCATCGTTGCTCGCTCGGCGCCGCTTGTCAATCGCCCGATCATGGAATTCATGGTTCGTCGGACGGGCACGACGCGAATTTCAATAAATACCCACGCTACCGTGGTAATGCGTATACAATGCTGTTCAGGCATGATAGCCGACCATGCTGGATGATACTGGTCCTCGGTAATTGGATCGTATATAATTGCATTGGCCCCGCTCTGCGGATCTCTAACGTGGCCTGATATTTATGTGAAATTGTAACAGGGACTGGAAAAGGAGCGATAACGTTTATTAAAAGAATGAAGATTGGATAAGCTACGTTATCATCTCGATTACTCGGTATATGTATGAGACGAAAAGATATTTTTAATACGAAAGTTTATATTTAAGTTAAGGATGAAGGAATAAAATAACATTAAATAATTATTTTACAAATACTTTTTTTGTTTTATGTATTAGGACCTTGAATAAGTTCTCGCTGTTTTCCAACATATGGTGTTAACAGAACTTGCACTGCGTGCATGTAGTTGAAGACATATCGATAAGAAACTACAATAAGCAAGCTTGAAATTCAGTGTATGTCATCTCGCCGAAGTGTAAACAACTTTTTGTTTCATAGTGTTAAACGAGTTTTGTGCCAACAAAAGAGTATTTGCGGGGAATTTTATTGCACTACTTTATTCAAAGAAAATTTGCAGCTGAAGCACACAGAATTCTTGTTGAGACTTACGTATAAACCATGCTCTATCGGAAACATGCAGAGATTGGTTTAGATGCTTCAAAAATAATGATTTTGATGTTGAAGATAAAGCAGAATTGGAGGCATTACTGCATGAAGATTCATGTCAGACGCTAGCTGAACTTGTAAAATCATTAGGAGTTGATTACACAACAGTTTTTAAACGTTTAAAATTATTTTTTTAAATAAAGCATTACTTTTCACGAAAAAAACAGCGAGAATTTATTCAAGGTCCTAATACATTCTTTTTTTTAATTAGTGAAATTCACTTAAAAAAAATTTGTAATGTTTCTGAAAAGAATTAATATAATAGAAAAATTGATATGTGAATTGTTACTAAAAAGTGTATATTAAATATATATTCCCCCTTGTAATACATTTTTCTTAATGGAGATGAGATACACACCATCCCTAACACGCAAGTATTAAATTCACGTCATCAATTGAGTAGTTAATTCAATAAAGGTAATTCCTACGAGAGAATCCCGCCACAACATTTCCAAGTCGATGTCCATCGGAACAAAAATGAGAATACCACCCCTGATCTTGTCCTCGATAAGTTTCCTTCGCCGCGTTTCTACCACGTCCTCTTATCAGCAATTTATATTTCCTCCAGACGAAGATATTCCCGAGAAAACAATCGAAAACGGACGTATTGCTTCGAGATATATCAAGAAAGAACGGAGTCTCGAAAGTACAATTTCGCTGAAGGCTCCGATGGGAATTGAGATGTGCTAGATTTCCTGTTTACCTCGTTTGCGCGAAAACTACGACTGGCAACTATAAAAATTGATTTCAGGATATATTGGATGTAACGCGAATCGCAGTTGAAGAATGTTATATACAATTTAGCGCGTCAAAAGATAATCAATCATTCCTCTAATAGTATCTGGTACCTTTTTAATAATTACTTCAGAAAAATTTCGATATGTAATACGATAATTTATTTTTAATTAAAACTTGTTTCAAGAATTTAATAAATAATAGGTTCAAATTATATTGTATAAACTAATGCCGGTGACACTACCTGAAAGGGGATGATTCTACATAAAATGTAAGCAAAAATGTAGAATAAAATTTTTTATATGAAATAAAAAGTAAAAAAATGCAAGTCAATGTAGACTGACACTAGCTTGCATTTATTTTAACTTATTTCTTTGTTTTATTATTAGATATATATGTTGTTTTTTATATGAAGCCTTGTTTTCGAAAAAAATCGACCTCTTTTTACAATTGCGGGAATATCCTATATCCGTTGTTCAATAATAGGAGCATTTTAACGAACTAGATATTCTCTATAAAAAAAATGTTTTTTCAATCTCGAAAATCACCATTTTTAAATCATAAACAATTAAACATTCTCTTTTGGAATTTTCTAGATGAAGGAAAAGCTCAACATATAAATTCTTTAGATTATTGAAACGATATTAATATATTATATGAAATACCGATGACAATAAACATAGTGCCGTTAAAAGCCTCTGTTTCCATCTTGAGAATTCCCAACTACGAGATTTACGATCCGAATCCGTGTGGAACGATACCGAAACCCATTGTGATGGATACTCCCACAACCCTGCAATCCATATTAGAGCAAGTGGAATTTGTACCGCATCGTTTACCATAACCACGGTAGCTTACGGGACGATTGCAAGCCTCCTATATTTTGTTCCTAGGCTGACAGCGGCGGGCCCCTGATGGTTGGAAGTTACCCAGCCGGGCCTTTGATAGTCATCGGAGTGGTTTCAACTGGTATTGGCTGTAGCAGATCACGACTTCCTGGCATTTACGTGAGAGTTTCCGATTACGTTTCTTGGATCACGCAAGAAGCACAGTCTGGCCGATAAACTTCGATGCGGAAGGAAATGCGAATTTCCGCCTCGCTGTTTTAATTCCATTTAACAGCGAGCTCGTGTAGTGAGACGCATTGATGATTGAGACAATTTATTCAAGTTAGTGATCCTTTTAATTTATAATAATTCATTAATATAAAAAAAAATAGTGAAAGAAAATTAGAGCAAGTCAATTAGCCGATAATTGGATTGTTAAAGTCTGTTATATGATAGCGTTGTCAATATTTTATTATACTCATAAAATATGTCACTTTGGCAGAAAAATTCTACGAATAATGAGCAAATGCAAAATATGAGCTATATTATGACAGTTGAATTTTTGTAAAATTTCCTAAAAGTATGTAAAATATTTCGTATATATCTAAAAATATGTACATAAGCAAGTACATTTTCTGACGCTACGTTACGAATTTTTACGGAAAGAGCATAGAATTTCTTAATTTTTCAAATAACGCTACTCTATGTCTTACTACAAGAAACAAAGAATTTTTAAGACAAACAATGCCAATCTATGTCTCATTACAAAAAACTAATGATTTCTAAGATTTTGTATCAGTCTGTACAATTTTTCTGAACTTCTTTTTCTTAAAAATTTTTTAGCCATGGTAAATAGTCAGCTAACCAAATGACAAATGTGATAATATATGTTAGTAATTTTTATAAAATAAATTTCTGAAAATTAATTCTTAAAATATATTTAATTTATATCGTAATTACAATATTTAATGCATTATTGTATATATTTATTTTTAAGAAATTTTATTATAAAAATAAACGCAAATTGATAATTATAACATGTAATATTAAAATTAATATTAATATATATAATGTGTTAATAGATAGATTTCTCTAAATTTAAATCTATTTTAAATAAAAAATTAATATTGTATTTCTTTTATGTGTATACATTATTTCTCAAAGACAAATTCTTTGATTAATTTAAAAAACAATATTTTTTTGTGAAAATATTATGGTTTATCTAATACAAAGTTTGATAATTTTTTTTTTAGTATTACATATATTTCTGTAGTTATATTACATAATGAATAAAAATAATATATTAAAGTAAAAATAATATATTAAACTTTCTATCTCAAATTAACTATAGTTTTGTAAGTGAACTGACTCCATAAAATGTAGTAAAAGTTCTTTCTCTTAACATTTGTAATTCAAACATTTCCAAATTCATAATTCAATTACTTAAGCATAAAATCCAATTTAATCGTTAAAGGCGTTTATTCAGGATATTAATTGTGCAAAACTTATATTACTAATATTAAAAAATACATATTAACACTATTAACGGTTATACCAATTTCAAAGTTGTAATCTAGTCATTTTTGGAAAATAGTGTCTAAGAAGAAACATACTTTAATGTAAAATAATAAAATATATTGTACAAATATGCAATCGAAAAATATTTATTTCCTTAAAAAAATTAATTTATTATGTGTATTTATTTAAAAACTGCTAAAAAATAATTATTTATTGTAAATAAAAGATAGAAAAAAACTTTGTTGTTAATTATAATATCCTAGAATTCAACTAATATCCCACAATTTCAATTGTAAAATTAAAATATCAAGATAAAAGGAAATTTTTCGAAGTATTTTGATCTTTAACCTTTAAAATCGTAATTTGTCCCCAATATATGCATACTTCAATTATTTGGAAAAATAAAATAATACGCATCATGGAAGATTTTCACAATATGTATTAATATAGTATATCCAAATTATAATTAGTAATTATATATATATAGCAACTAATAATTATACTCTTCTCTGTTTTCGTGGTCTTGGTGGATTATAACTTACTCTGGTATCATCAGTAATTGATACAATGTTTAACCCCACCATTTGAAAACCTTTTATGGAAGACTGAAACCAGTAAAATTTTTAATATGCGAATATATTATATGACAGCAGTGATAATAAATTATATAGTACATAAAAAATAAGAATTAATTTTTATAAGACACTCACCATTCTACCAGCTCCAATACCTTGTACTCGTATCCTCAATGTATTAACACCATATTCAAGAACACGCTAAAAAATAGATGAATATATTTTAAAGATAAATACATACATGTATTTTTTTGTTATTTAGCACGTGTCATATTTTACATACAAAAATTTTAACACAGATCATATTCAATGTATGCTTACGTTACCCAACGTTATAGCTGCTTGTTGAGCAGCAAGATTTGTTCCTTTCTTAGCATTCTTAAAACCTTCTGTACCTGCTGAATGCAACAATAATACTTTACCCTTAAAATTTGTAAAAGTCATAATTGTATTGTTAGGAGTTGATTTTATATTAACAATATGTAATTCTTTATATGGTACACCATTAAACAGTCGATTCGGTGTATCTGCATCAGGAAATAGATGTTCCCTAAAACATAATATAAGTATAGATAAAAATAATTTCCTGCATAATCAATAGCAAGAAAGATTAATATTGTTTAAAGCATATACTTAATGAACATAATGGCAAATTTTTTTACTCATACAATCAAGGTAACATATTAAAATTGATCTAACACAACTTAAGATTGTTATACAAAACTAAAACACGTTGTATAAGCTAAAATGTTACTCTAATTAATGAAATTAATACTTACTGTTGATCAAGATTGGCCATTTCGGGAATAGTTTCTCCTTCGACCAATCCATATTTTGAATTACCGACTTTTACTTTTTCATTTTTTAATCGAATTTCTTTGCTGCATAAATGAGTGGTATAAATATTCCTTGAGGTTATGATACTCAAACGCGCAAATGCCGAGGTTACTTGATCATCGATTAATACGCTTTTCTGTAATCTAGGAAATTTCGTCAGCCTTAGCATGGATTTAATCATTTCGATTAATTAGCCAGGCGATTTTTCAACGTTTTATTCAAGAGGAACCAAGGAATAGTATCAGAGCACAAGAAGATAAATAGACACAGCTGCAATAATAATCATAATAATCACTAAACTATTGCCATCTCTATGCTTCTCGTAGAACTGCGAGTACCAATACCGGCATTACCGGCACAGTATAACGCGGAATGCATCAAAACAGCTAGTTTATCGATTCCTGGCGACCTCTCGAACGCAGTTAGACTGAACTATCGAAAGGACCGGTCGGTATTTCCGAGATTTTCGAATTTGATTACCGATTTGCATGTCAATTTGACGAAAATTATAATTAAGCTTCAAACATTCGAAAATTGTACTCACTCAATATTTTATATATTATTTATTATAATGCGCACGATACATCAAAATTGTATATAAAACAATAAATTAATAAACCTTGCGATCACTTTTATCGAATTTGTTACGTCCATAGATACAATTAATATCTCTTCCTCATAAGTATAAATATTAACATTATTAACTATTATTAGTGTTATTTACTTAAATTTTATTACTATTACTGTTAACAGTAAAATATATGCAGTCTTTAATCACTCGCGTATGAGCATTCATCGATTAAAAAATAACGTTAATAAACGTACGTAATAAAATTTTATAAAATATCAAACAATCGATAAAGCAGAAAAATAGAAGAATTAATTGTTTCTTCAATTCATTATATTGATTACACATTACTACATCAATATATCGCACGCAAATGTACGTGCAAATTTTCTAATCTACTAATCTTTTATATTAGATATCTAAACTTAACTCTAAGAACTCGATCATATTGTTAGTTCATATATAATCCCTGATTCAAATCGAAGTATAAAACTTGTATATAAAACAAATATTATATGAGTCAAACGTCAAAAGGAGGTAACAAAACTGTAATTTTTAAATTTGTTTTTGGCGATAAAGAGTCGACTAGTTTGAACTACATTATCGCTTATACTTTAATCGTGGAAAAGGAGTTTTAAATTTGTAAAGACAAAAATATACTTGTATGAAACATAATTGATAAAGACGACTTTAGGATCCCCTTAATTGTTATGTACTAACTATACACGTAGTAAACATTTTTAAAAATTAAGAATTCACCTTTTTGTGGAAAACATTTCTCTCGAGTATGAAAATTGTACGAAACATTTTGTTCCGAGATGAGAGTTATTAAGATTTAAGAATTTAACTGCTTAATTGAATCAGTGAAAAAGCAACACTATTTTAAGAAGTTAACTTGAAAAGAAAACCATGCACTTCATCGTAATAATTAATGTACATTGATTACATTTGTGCATTTAATTACAAGTAACATAATATTACACATCAAGTTACCTCGAAATAGGTAATAATTTGAATCTATAAGAGAACTAAAATGTATTAGAAATTGTATTGAATTGGTAACATGATTCAATTTCAGATAAATGATCTCAAATGTAAAATATCTTCTATATGTATAAATAATAACAATGACAATTTCCGTGCTTCAAATTCATTATCATATTATTCAACTTTTGTTATTTGTGCTATCCATTTGCATATTATTTGCATATAAATTAATACAGTCCATTCTAAAAACAAAAATCCGTATTAAACAAAAATGTCGTTGAAACTTTGATGAAAGAAATTTAAAAAAAGGTTCTCACTTCTTTATTTCATTACACATGTAGATATAGCAATATTTCGTAAAATTTAATAAAAATTATTCATACATATGATCTAGTCTACATTTCTAATATGCATAATACATGAAAGTGAGGTAACAAGAGTTGTTACATCACTTTCATATATGTAAACAAAGTTTGTAACAATTCGATTGTTGTTAACACTTTCGTGTAAATGTTGCATCGAATTATGTGCTTCTCTATTCGCCGCAGGAATTCGATGAGAATTTGCTGTTAATAGAACTATTTGTTCACAGCATTAAATCTGTTGTTACGGCTCTCGATTTCTTCCATTAGTGTTACCCCTTGAATGTCCGAAACAATGTGTGCGATTTCAATAGTACGGAATTACGTATTAGTTATCATTAGGTAGATTGTGTTACCGCCATTTCCCTTACGAGCCATTTCTGGTTCGTGGCTTTCCCGTTTGTAATAACACATGAATAATGCTGCTACGATAGTATTGTGTTGCGCACAAGCAACTCTTGTGCTCTACCGTATATCTCTCTTGTTAGTTAAGAAACCTTAAACGATTACTTCCATCTCCATAAATTATACATGCGCACGATTGTTTATGAATTTAAATGCAATATATATATATTTTTATATATAATGTATACATAAAAAACATATACAAAAAATATAATTACAAATCAAACTCTCATTAGCCTCCCATATTAAATCGGCATTATTAAACAGAATTTAATACTCCACAAAACATTTATTATAATACACATATTTCACGTTCTGTAATATGCATATATTTATTTGCATCTTAATATTTTAAAATAAAAAGGTACGATATTACGTCACATGGAAAAAATATATCTTGAAATAATTTCAAGTATTCTAATAGTACATGAATAATTTTTCCTCTTCAATCGCGAAGCTGAAAGCATTTCCGTAGGCAATAATCGAGAAATTCTACCAAGAATTGATATTTAAATTTTCATGTGTTTTTAATTGCTCAATAACTTATAACGATCGTTATACAGAAAATAAATGCGCTACGAGTTGCACCGTAATAAATATTATAGATACGAGGGAAACGATTCTATCTCAATACTTAATAAATCAACGATGCTGATTCGGTGGCTTTGGGAGGATTTTCAAGGTGGGATCTCTACTTCATACACGATGAGATTGCGCACGCTCAACGTGCTTTGTCTCTCTCTTTCCATTCTCGTGAGCACTCTCGAATTAATTACGGGATCCTTCTCATTTACGCAGTTATTATGAACCATACCCTAAGATCATTACTGAATTACCTGAAGAGCTTCGAAGACCTTTCCTACTACACCTATCTACACACGTATCATACCATATATATATTTCACTACATATCGATAGATTATAAGTGCATATACCTGTCCATTTTCCCGATCAATATATAAATATTTACGAGAACCAAAAAGGTAAAGAAATATTATAGCATTATTTTCGTAAGAGTGAACAAATTCACGTAAAAACCGTTCGATAATGTAAAATTGTAACACACATACATTTCTGCACTATTTTTTTTTTATCACATTATTTTCTTTTATTAATATTTTATAAAATTTATAAAAGGATTATCTTATTTGAAAAATCACGCGCAGTACTCATAAAAATTATAGATATTTAAATCGAGACCTTCAGTTTTGCATTTCAATTAAACCACGCGAGCTTTCAATTAAAGTTCGAAGCATGCAGCACCAGTAATATCGATACATAAAAACTTGTAGTTTTCAGAACAAGTATTGATTGCTGATAGATTAAGATAGATTTGAACTCCAATTAAGCGACGTTGCTGGTTTATGTGTGATACTTCTTTTCATTGTTCTTCGTGCAACACGTGAGCGTTTTCGTTTCACCTCGGGCGATTGCTAAAAACCGATGTGCAAAAATAGGATTTCCTCCATCGTTCGCATATTCCGCCTCTTTCCTACTTGATGTCATTGCGCCACGTCGAAGCGAAAAGTTTTATATCGGATTTAGCGTCATCTCGGCGACGGTAGCGTCGACGAGCGAAATTTGGTTTTCAATACAAAACGGGCCTCGACAGGAATAACGGGTACGTCGATAGAGAGAAAAACGGAAGGGGCAGTCGTGGGAAAGTCAGCAAGCATTCACAGCACTCAAGCTCGGTTTATCCAGAGGAATGGTATCGAGTATCCGTTGTACCGTTTTCTCCGTTTAAACGTAGTCGGAGTATTCCATTCTTTGAGAGCCCATGGAGTTTCTCTGATATTTCTTAAAGTAGTCACTACCGTGATAGATCCTGTGCGCTCGTTTTATCCCGCAACTTTTCTCAGAGTTTCCTTCACATATATCATAAGGTTCCCGATAATCCGAAGGAAACAACGCGAAAGCGCAGTTTTTGAAGTTGGGCCCGCATTTATGTGCACGTTTTGCATTATACATTCGCTACTTTCAATATTGAAAAATAGTATCGAAAAGATGTTGATTACTCACAGCTACATATTTCTGAAATTATATATCGCGAATCGAAAAGTTCAGTATACATTTGAAGCTTTTTCAAGTTTAATCTATGTAGTTAAAAATGACTGTTATAAATGTAAAGTAATGTAGATTATAAAAAAAATATTTATAAAAATTGTCATTTAAAATAATAACGTTTATTCTTTTATTTGTAAGTATTTATAAATAAAAGAGAGTAAGTGTTATTATTTTAGATAACAATCTGAAAACATTATTTTTATCTTTAAATAAAATCTTATTTAAAATCTTATCTCCATGCAAAAGAATGATATTTTAAAAGTATAAATTTCGTATCTTATATATTTATCTTTTTGCTTTCGTTTCATCTTCTATATATACATATATATTATATGTATAAATATACATATTATACATAGGTACTTTTGTGAAATCGACAGAATAAATATAATCGAACGACAGCTATGTTCAAAGTATCGTTAAAAATAACTGTCTATAGAATCTATAAAATAGTTGGCATTGTTATACATCGTTCTTCCGTTTGAATAAAAACGATCTGACTGTAAGTAGGTATCTATCTTTTTATGTATCATTCCATTTTTATTATTGCATATTTCATCGCCTTTCTTTCTGGATGGAATGCGATAGAATAGAGAACGATTTTGTTGTGAAAAATGTTGAAATTATTATTCCGTTCCTTAAAAGAAACATGATTCGAAAACTCGCAGCTCCCGAAGTCGTCACTCACTCAGCAGGTCTTATATTTACCCGTTTGTACCTACAGATTTCAAGTCTCTCTCCTTACTGCCTCTCTCTAAATCAATATAACGAGAATGATTCGAGAGCAGTTGCGTGTATAAAGAATATCAGTCTGTATAGTTCATAAAGCAAACTTAGTTGAAACAAAATAGCTCCATACTTCTTTTTCCATCTGTAACACGACTGG